AGGCGATTGGAAATATCATGGCTTGTGCCAGGCGCACCTTAGTCCTCAAGGAAATATCCTTGTTCCTCAGCACTTGAAACAGTTCTTTTGCAGTTGACTTTCCCAATGCTACACGTCGTTTACAAGAGATACTAAATGTTAAAGAGCAAAGGGGTCACTTTGAAAATTAAAGTGCATCTGACCCAAGCTGTGGTATTTTTAATAGCCTCATATGCATGTGAAAGCTGGACAATGAATAAGGAAGACCAAAGCAGAATTGATGCATTTTAATTGTGGCACTGGTGAGGAATATTGAAAATACTATGGACTGCCAGAAGAGCAAACAAATCTGTCTTGAAGTGCAGCTGGAATGCTCCTTTGAAGTGAGAATGACCAGACTTTGCCTCTTGTGCCTTGGTCCTGTTATAAGAAGTGACCAGTCCCTGGAAAAGAATACCATGCTTGGTAAAGTAGAGGGTCAGCAAAAAAGGAGAAGACCTTTCACAAGATGGACTGACCACAGTGACTACAACAGTGGGCTTAATTAAGCGTAGAAAAGATTGTGAGGATGTCACAGAGCAGTGTTTCATTCCGTTGTACATGGGGTCACTATGAGTCAGAACCAACTTGATGGCAACTAAGAATAAAAATAACAACAAATGATTTGGAGTGTCCTGGTAGCTGATGAGCACTGCAGTGACTTTTTTTAAGTGGATTTCTAGTGTGAGATTTTGGTTCTTGAATAGTAAGATCGCAAGTAACACAAGAGTACAATTTTGTGAATTTCATTAGCTATGAGAATGGAAAACCAAAAGGGAAGAACATGCTCAGCATTTCTCAAGCTGAAAGAACTGAAGAAAAAATTTAAGCGTTGAGTTGCAATATTAAAAGATTCTATGGGCAAAATATTGAATGGTATAGGAAACATCAAAAGAAGATGGAGGGAATACACAGAGTCACTGTACCAAAAAGAATTGGTCGATGTTCATCCATTTCAGTAGGTGGCATATGATCAAGAACCAATGGCATTGAAGGACGAAGTTGAAGCTGCATTGAAAGAAGTGGCAAAAAACAAGGCTCCAGGAATTGATGGAATACCCATTGAGATGTTTCAACAAACAGATGCCACACTGGAGGCACTCACTTGGCTATGCCAAGAGATTTGGAAGACAGCTACTGGGCCAACTGACTAGAAGAGATCCATATTTGTACCCATTCCAAAGAAAGGTGATCCCACAGAATGTGGAAATTATCGAACAATATCATTAATATCACATGCAAGTAAAATCTCACTGAAGATAATTCAAAATGGTTGCAGCAGTATATTGACAGAGAACTTTGAGAAATGCAAGCTGGATTCAGAAGAGGACGTGGAATGAGGGATATCATTGCTGATGTCAGATGGATCCTGGCTGAAAGCAAAGAATACAGAAAGATGTTTACTTGCATTTTATTGACTATGCAAAAGCATTTGATTGTGTGGATCATAACAAATTATGGGTATCACTGAGAAACAGAATTCCAGAACACTTCATTGTACTCATGAGGAACCTGTACATAGACCAGGAGGCTGTTGTTTGAATGGAATAAGGGGACACTGCATGGTTTAAAATCAAGAAGAGAGTGTGTCAGAGTTGTGTCCTTTCACCATGCTTATTCAATCTGTAGGCTGAGCAAATAATCCAAGAAGATGGACTATATGAAGAAGAACGTGGCATCAGGATTGGAGGAAGAATCATTAACAACCTGCTGATGACACAACTTTGCTTGCTGAAAGTGAAGATGACTTGAAGCACTTACTGATAAAGACTGAAGACTACACGAAGAAAATCAAAATTCATGGAAACAATTAGTCCTAGCGACTGGTACACCATCCGATCTGCAGCGTATACAACTATGAGACCAGAAGAACTAGATGGTGCCCGGCTACCACTGTCATCCACTTGGAAGGAGATCTATGTAGGAGACCCTTGATAGAGAGGGAGAACAATGTGGAACAAAACTCAAAATCATTTGGAGAAAAAAAAAAAGGTGGGGACCAGGTTTTC